TAATGAATAGAGGGATTTGTTTTAATTTTGTTTGTAAATAGGATACCATGTCTCCATCTTGTACAGCAAATAACCACTAGGAAGAATATACGCAATGCATTAATTATTGAAACTGTACTACGAATTTGGTTTGAAACTGTCTCATTGCTATTTGTTTCTCAATAAAAATATGGGAAAAAATAAGAAGCATTGTTATTTTTATTTTGGTAAAAGTTCTCACATAAAAGCATTTCTTTGCCCCAAACTATGAATATAGTAAGTGACTTTTCATCTATTGAACTTTACTAGTATAGTTTTAGAACGCAACTCACGTTAAGTTACTTCATATTTTTCAATGTTTATGTTTTTCATTTTCCCCAAATGGACGTCTTCTTCTATCTTTTAATGACATTCTACAGAAGATTTTATATTTTAAAGATAATTAAAATTGTCAGTTTTTTCATTTTTTGTTAGTCTCCTTTTCATCTTATTCAGGAAACACTGCTGTATATTTCCTGTTCAAATATAGAAGATATTTCTCTACTATTTTTTAATGTATTTTTAGTACAGGGTCTAGAGGGTCTCACTACACAGATCAGACTCATAGTGATTCTCCTGTTTTCAGCCTCCTAAGTGCTGGGATTACCCACACACACCACCACTCCCAGTCTCAGTTGCCCCGGGGGCAGCACTGGCACAGCATGCCTGGAATTGAACCCTGGTCTCTGTGCCTGCCTAAACAGGCACTTTAGTTTGCTGAGCTACCTCACCAGCCCTCTATTATTTCTTGTACAGCAACATAAAATTGAACATGGTGGACTAACAACTGTTGGTCATCTTGCAACACCCAGCTGAACTTAACCTGCACAGTGCTGGGTGTGGAAAGCCTACCTGGGGATTGTTGCTAGCAGCATAAGGTGCAGAAGTGGTGAAGAAGAGAAGCATTGAGAAGCTGTGGGGATCTGTTGAGAGGCTGTAAGGAGCTGCTGGTTCTCTTGGAGGAGCTTGTCATGCTGGCTTTCTTCATGCATTCGGATGATCTCACTGTTGAAGGAATTTGGTACCTCTGTGTGGCTGGGAATGGTTACGGGTTCACTTTTGTAGCAGCTCTGGTCTGCACTTTGAGCACCACTTTCGGGCTCTGGAGGGGAAGATGATGCACTGACTGCTCAGACTTCTGAAAAAGCTGGTCGCAGTGGCTTTCCTAAGGGGAAATTGGCTGTGCTCATCATTGGAGCTCAGGATTCACTTTTGCTGAGGATGCCTGTGGTGCTTTTCAGGGGAGCTCCACTTCTTCCTCTGAGCACCACTTCCTAGCTACAGTTCAGATCCCTCAGGCTGCCAGCACAGATGCCTCATCCCACTACCACAGATCTTCTAACTTCTATCACTGATACTTTGGCCTCCTGGTGCAGATCTGTGATACATGAGACATTGTTTTGGGCTCTAGCCCTTCAACTGGACTCGTGGCAGGCATTGTTATGGGCTGTAGCACTTCAGGTGAACTCATGCAGGACATTGTCTTGGGATCCAAGCCCTCATCTGGATTCTTTGGTCTTTATAGTGTGGACAGATTCCTAGCATGTTTGTAGTATATGAATCTTTGGGTGATTATTATAAAATAATTCTATAAACTACATGTCCTGTAATAAATTGTTCCCACTTGCAAAACCCCAAACCAGGACAATGAATAAGGATTAGTAAGTTATCTGGATTTTGTGATCAAATACAGTTGTAAATATGGGTATTACAGAGCCCAAATCATACTAATTTAAATACATGTGAGAATCTTTCTGGATGTTTGAAAAGAAAATTCTGTTTTCTTATTTTCTAACAGCAATTGTCTCATAAAGTTTGTTTCATTCCTTTAATCTTCCGTTAAAATCTTAAAAATCAAATTTCACCTGATTTCCATAAAAACTACATAGCACTCTATTGGATTTACTTTTATTGTTTATTATTATTGATTTATTCCTATTATGTATTGCATTTGCTTCTTTCCTTTTTGTTACAATTATTAATTGTATTAATTTTTTTAATTGTATAAATTTTATTGATGTATTTGATTGATTTCATTTTACTGGACATAAACAACATACTCTCTTTATACTATTGTAAGTACATGAAATTATTAAAAGAGTTATGCTTTAATTTTGTCTTACTATAGAACAATGTTAGTGTAGTAATAATTGGTACCCTTATATGAGGAGATTAAATGCATAGAATTAAGCAAAAGAAAATAACATCAAGTTGAAAGGGTAATTAATGTTGAAACATGCTAGGGCACTTTTGAAAAAATATTAAGATGTAATTATATTTTAATACAATATACAATATACATTTCAAAAATAACTAGAATATATGACAGAAAATTTAAACCAATATAGAAGAAATTTGAAAAATTAAAAACGCATTTGAAATTTCAACTTATCAGTTAATTAAAATATAAACTATAATATTTTAAAAAGCCATATGAAATATGGGGGCAAATAAAATACTAAAAGAAAGATAGAAGAAATACTTAATTACAATAAAATTTTAATGCATCCCTTATACAACAGACACAAAAAATACCACATTAAAATGTGTTGACATATAATAAAAAAAAAATGAAACAAGATGAACTTTTACTGCTGGCATAGGTAGTAAGGTAGTATGATGTGAAAGTACTCACGTGTTCCTCTGCACTCAACCTGATCAAAGAATGTTTCCTATTCTTTGCATTCTCTCTGTATTCTCTTATTAACAATTCAATCCTATATCTACGTGGTTGCACAGTGTGGGGGAACCCCATGCCTGGAACGGAGGGAAGAGTCTCAGTGTTATAATAAGGTAGGAGCTGACCATGAAGAGGAATCAGAGAATAACCAAAATAAGAAGGGTAGCCACGTAAGCGTGAGGTTGAGGGGGAGATGAGAGGTAGAGAGTTAGAATTTGGAGAATGAGGACAGGATGATTGTGAATTGGAATCCACTCTCATTGGGTGTCAGAGCCCTGCAAAATGAGGAGGGGGTACAATCCCCTCATAGCTGAAGATGTGAGAAGAAAGTTACATGGGATGGTTGGTCTTGCCTGAGCTTTCAGAATCTCAGGCAGTCAGATACCTGACCTTGTGTAGGTTGTGAAATAAGCAGAGATCCCTATGAAAGCGATGATTTAGTGTTGATTGCACAAACCTTAGTGTGGTATTGAGATTCCTAAAGATACACTGGTAGGAATAGGGCATTCATTAAATATGGCCAATTAATTAATTAAATCATAAATAATTAGCTGAAAATAAACTGGAATTTACATTGTAATATTAGATTACATTTTGATGACAACAGTAAGAAAAATGAGAATACTTGGTCCCCTGAGATAATACAATGAAAGGACCGCAGTCTTATTTCTGTGATATTCTTAGGCACATACAAGCTTACAGTAAACATCAGATAGACTAGTTAGCCTTACCCTAGGAGAGTCATTGTAAGCTATGAAAGCATGATTAACTACCCCAGAGTGAAAGAGAGGCATGTCCACTACAGGCAATATGGATACTAAATGTATTAAGGTATTTAGAGAAACTTGAGTGGAGCTTGAGGAGTCAGTGTTACATGGATAAAAGTTATTTTCATGCTTATCTTGTAGCTATGGAAGAGAATGTCCTGCCTATGTGGAAGGACTACTAAACAGTTAGGACGAGATAGCATATCTTACTGGCAGCTCTTTCTCAAAATGGCTCAGAAAAAAGGATTCTCTGCTACACATGGAGTGATTTTGTAAAGCGCAGACATGCCCCCATCTGGATCAACTTTAATCCACAATGCTCAATTAGCATGAATTTTCATCCCAAAGCAGATGCAGTGTGTTCCACATGGCCTCTTGTAGGAGAAAGATTTCAGCCCCCACAAGCTCCATTTGGGTTTGTCCCTTTGTGCACCTACTAAATTATTTGACCATATATATCAGCCCTTCATTACATAGAATATCTTATGGGCAATATTTACCCAGGAAAATAGAGTTCATTCAATTTCTTTACAAGAATGTATCATTTTAAAAATCATTTACATTTTTCCTCCCATATTAGTCAACATTTGATTTATCATTTCCTTGCAAGAATTTGGTATCTTTAATGTGATTTTCTACTGTTAACACAGAACTAAATAATGCTGGAGTCATTTATCATGAAAGAATATGTATGGGAAAGAAAGGTGCCTATTAAGAGCATTAACAGTACTGTTTGCCATGCATTTGATTTGTTCAAATAGATTTAATTATAAATATAAATTATATGTTCAGTTCAGAGAGAAAGTGATTAATAATTTAAGGATTAAGTGTAAGTCAAAATTATTTAGTCTAGCAATAATTTAATTGCTAGTTGTTCAGAAGTATGTACACAACACACACTAAATATTTAGTATGTGTTGAATGACACAAAGAATATCAAATAATTTAACAAGTTAGCAAATATTTGGGCATTAAGTGCTTTTATTATTTGCTTGAGCATGAATAAATTTGAGATAAAGTGATTAAAACCTAACACAAAGCCATTTCTATGTTTTTAGGGTTTTGTAAGATGCTAGCAATGTGAAGACTGTATCATGAAATTAAGTATGAATTAGAAACATCCAGATTTGCTTATTCTTCACACTCTCGATAGATCATTAATTCCTAGGAGTAACTGTTACATAAGTGCTAATCAAACCTTGCAAGGCTCTATAAATTAAGCCAGCTGGAGTTAGTCATTCAGTATTTCAATTGTTCCTACAATACTTGGTCTTCTGCCCTTATGGACACTTTCTAAAGACTTTAAAAATAGATATTTAAAGGTAGATCTTGGAAACAATATCATTCATTGAGAGGGAAAAAACACACAAAGACATTTTGGATCCAGTGTCAGAAGTATTCTTCTCATGGTGGAGTGGCATAGCAGGGTGATTTACATCATGGTAATGAACATGGGCTTGCAGCTGATCAAGGGCGGCAGTCCCACGGAGCTCGGTAGGGCAAGGGGCTAGAAGTAGGCCAGCTGGTCATTCCTGGACTTGTTGGTCCTGCAGGCGGCCAGCTCTAGGGGCTTGTTCTCATGCGGGAGGCTCTTGAACACCCGCAAATGCAAGAAGTTCTCATCCCCAGTGTCCACCTTGATGAAGTAGTTGGTCCCCGCCATCAGCTGGCACTTGAAAGACACGGCCTTGAAAACTGAGTACTTCCGGTTTTCCTTCTCTTCAAGCTGGGTCCTCACCGAGTCTGCGAGGTCTTGCGTCTGAGCCATGGCCCTCTGCGTGGTGGAAGGCGCCCCACACATCATCCTGGTGATGAATTTAGGAAGTCTCTGGGTTCACTACGGTCCTGAGGGGCCTGCTTGGTTTATGCTCAGTGGCCTTCTTGAACATTTTACTGTAATTAAAAATCAAAACGCCTATGACAGTAGCTAAACAGGAATCATCAACACTCACCCTAAGAATTTCTAGAATCAGCACAACATTCTTGCATCTTTACATTACCCCTACTTCAAATTCCTGCTAATTTGGATATTTCTGACCCTGTTATGATTTCTGTGAAGGACAGTAATTGAATCATAAGAATGTTTCAATCATTAGTGATAGTAAAATAATCACTATGGGCCATCTTTTGACATTTTCCAAATGAAATGTATACATCCCAAATTAACCAACATACCTTTCTAGGTGAGGTTTTACTTTGAAACTGTGGTGTGCAACAGGGAAACAGGTTTCAACTCCACAGAAAAGAACAGAAAGAACTTTGCATCAGGAGCCCTTCTTGTCTCTGCTCTTTACTCTTACTTTGACTGAGTTTGATCTACTTGGTTTCTCTGTAATAACTTAACATTGTGAGTGTAACAGCTTCCCTGACAGTTCTATGAGTCCTAGCAAAATTATCAAACCTGACAGGTAGCATTGTGAAATCCCCAGACTTGCAGTTGTGTTTTGTCAGGAGTAAGGGACATTGTGAGGACTGAGTGCTTGCAACCTCACAGTTGTGATATTTGGGGGACTATGAAAAAAATCAAAATTCGTTTTTTCTTATATTTGTCTTTCATGTCTGGCTTGTAGTTAATCAGTGCAAATCCTCCTGTGGAATCCAGAAACAACCCTTTTCTTTGGTTCTTGCCACAGATCTATCTCAGGGCACCATTCTTTTTCAAACAAGATTTTACAATAGCCTTGTGCTGATTCTAGGATGTCATCTTGCCAGTATATTCTGAAAATCTTAATGGAAGAGATGCTTCTGAAATATAAATTTGGTATGATACACTGAATTAAGGTCCAAACACATTTTATCTTCCTGCATAGCCCTTCCTTTGAAGACTCTTGACCACAAGGCTGTTGCTATGCAGACTTGGCCTTGTCATTTGACTTTGTAATTGAAATACAAGTGTATGTGACTTTTAATATTTCTGAGCATTAGTGTAAATAAGTATTGCAGGATTTTATGGTATCACTCATCTCTTTGGCGCACCATACTGGAGTTGTTACAGATAAGTGCTGGATTTTATTTTGGATCCTAAAGAGAAAATAAAGGTGAACTGCATCTAATACTTAGCATGTGCATATTGGAATATAAAAATTTTCAATGGTATGTTAAAGAAACATTACATTAAAAAGTTTACTGTCACATAAATTAGTACTAGAAGTGTAATTCTGATATAGCAGCCATGAAAAAAAATATATAAGGTGTGTGGCTTTGGTTTTAGGAAGGATGGAGGACGATGGTAAAACTATGATTACGTGTTGGATGACAGGATGTGTCTGTGGTGTGCACTAGGTGTATGCTTTTTATGGTTGACAGCTGCAATAACTAGCGAAATGTGCCAAGTGAGCTCATAGGTATGCCCGAGTAAGCTAGGTACAGAATGTTATTGGGCATTAGCTACATTGACCATGGTTATAAAATGATGATCTGAGAACAGAAGTGGGGTAGCAAGGTACAAAACTGCAACAGAAATGAAAGAGAATAAGGGATTTGGAGAAATCTACGTGGCAGACATAACTATCTGTCATCTTCAAATAGGAAATATAAAGAAATGATGGTAAAGTGTAAGTGAAAACTACAAAGAAAATGTAATTTGTGACTTTCTTGCAAGTGCTGTGCCAGCCGTCTTTGGGGTCAGAGAAGACCGATCAGGAAATAGATTGCCCTCAGACTTATAAATTATTAAGGCTGAAATGAAATGTATGTCTTGAAAAGTATTGTGAGCCAGGTATGCTGGTGCACACCTGTAACCCCAGCACTCAGGAGGCTGGGCTCAGGGGATCTGCCAGAGTTGGGGCCGGCCTTGGCTACAAAATGAGTTCAAGGCCAGCCTGGTCTACATAGCAAGACCTTTCTCAAGAACAAAGAAAAAAAATAAAACAGACCAGTATTATGGCCTGGATACTAGCATAGAAAATGTACTCCAATCAAATAAATAAAACAGTAAATAATGTAAAAAGACAATATCACCTTCAATTATGTCATGTCTGTAACACATGTTGCTGTTTGAGACAATTACTGATACTGTGCTTGCCCTCATTCTGTAACCAATCATAAAACAAAATAAAATGTTCAAGGCAACAGTTTTTTTCCTCCCCAGGAAAACATGTTAAACAAAAGTATGATTCTTAGAAGAGAAAATAAAAATTAGATAGACCTTCCATTTGCCTAAGCATTCTCTTTCTATGTTATTTTTTCTTGATTATAACACGTAAAGTAAGAATTTAAGTAGATTGCTGTAGTTAAACTAACCTTAAAATGCAGAGATTAGACATGTTAGCTCAAGTGTCTGGGCTTTCAGAGTTAAGAACAGGGAAAGGGTGATGTGTTGGAGCAGTTTACCCAGGCCCTTGATCAGGGCTGGCTGTAAATGCACAAAGAGAATACTTTGATGCCTATAAGAGGATAGCTATGCTAAGGACAAAAGTTGAGGTTAATAAAGCTAACAGAATGAAACAGGAATTCAGCTAGGCTAGAGAGACTCTGCTGAGTGAGTACCTTTGGCATGGCGATTAGTCCTGAAACACTTTGGAACTAGGATTTCCCCAAAATCTTCATGTGTCCAGAGGTGGGATTTTTGGAAGGTGATTAAAATAATGGAGGTGACCTAGATGTCTTGCTGTTAGGTGGTAGGCTTGGTCAGAAGCCATAGGCCACTGGGGAAATGACCTGACTTGAACCTCAGCTCCTCCCTCTTCTCTGCTTCCTGGCTGCTGTTGTCCAAGCACTCTGCCTCCTCCCAGGGCCTTGCAACAAGCCTTTCAGGCCTTAGAGCCAGCAAAACAGACTAAACCATTAACCACAACAAACTTCTTCTTAATTTGTGAGTGTCTACAATGGGGAAGTGACTACAAGGAGTCTTAAGAAAGATAAGCCTTAGATCATGCCCTGGGACTAGATACAAAATGAATATATACCTAGCATATCCAAGAAGAAAAAGGAAATATATATATATATATATATATATGATCAGAAGGAATAGCCAGTGATTTAATTTTCTTTTAAAAAATTTTAAAAACCATTTATGTGTATATGTATGTATGTATGTATGTATTTGATATAAGGTCTTGCTACACAGCTCAGACTTGTAGTGATCCTTCTGTTTTGCCCTTCCCGGTTCTGGGATTCCAGGTTTGCACCACCATGCCTCGTTTTGGTGGCCGGCACACCAACATGGCATAAAGTACCTGGTATCAAACTCGGGTCCTTCTGCTTGCCAGGCAGGCACACAGACCACCGAGCAACTCCCTAGCCCAGTGATTTAATTTTCTGTCCACATAAATTGTAGTATTTTTCAAAAGTGCACTATACAATATAAAGTTGTTTAAATATTATTGATTGCTTCCAAAATATAATTAAATACACATTTACATAAAAATAAGCCAAAAGTTGTACCCAACATACAGTTAAAAAATAAGCAAAACACATTTCAAAATGATTCAGGTGATACTTGCTGATACATTTTCCTATATGTCTGTAAAGGAAAATCTGCACATTTGAGAAGACAAAATCTTGAGTAGGGAAATGGAAATTTCATATAAAAGGAACCATTTAGAAACTGTATCACTGGAAACTCCAGAATCTGCAATAAATAATCACAGATGCTTTGCTTCATATGCAGCCCTGAAGAACAAGTATCTGTGAATTGAAGTTAGACAAATTATTATTTTTTTCAACTGGTAATACATTTATTTATTCACCTGTCAAAGACACAGTTGAAAATCTTGGGGAGAATACATCAGAGGTATAAATACAATTATAGAAATTCTTATTATACATGTAGATGGAAGATATATTTTATTATGTTTCACACATTCTAGAAGACATTCAAATGAGGATAAATAGATTCTGACTGTTGATAAAACTGTTCTTATTCTTGATGTCCTTCATTTCACTTTTTTATAAAAAATTTCATTATTGTTATTATTATTATTGTTATTATTTTGCTGTACTGGTTATTGAACTCAGGACCCTGTGCTTGCCACTCAAGTGAAGCTAGAAAAATTAAACTTATGCCACCTAAAGAAAACAGAAAAATTGAAAACTAAATTCAAAAATATGGAGAACTATGGTACAATATGAGATGTTTTGGAAAGGTGCAATTGGTAATTTAAAAGACATATCACAGGTGAAGTAAAACAAAAACTGGTTAACAAAAGAGTGACAGTAAGTCCCCAAATTTAGTAAAATGATCGCATCATTCTATAGACACAGAAGTCTCAGGAAGCTCTCAAAATGATAGCTACAAAAAGAACAACACCTACACAATCAAAAATATCAGAATAAAGAACCAAGTTAAAACAATTAGAAGATAAAAATAAACATAAAGAGTATGACAATGTGAATGATGAGTGATTTCATATTAAATGAGCTTTTTTTCTGGGTTGTTAAAACAAAAAACCAAAGCTTTAAGTAAAGGCCAGCCAAATATCTCAGCAGATTAAAGTGCCTGCAAGCAGGTCCAGGGGACAGGGGTTTGATCCCCAGGTCTGCTATGTCAGCCTCATCCCCGGTGCACGCTGAGACAGCGATTGAGACTGGGCATGGTGGTGTGTACCTGTAATCCCAATTCTTGGGTGGCTGTAAAACAGGTGGATCACTATAAGTGAGACCCTGAGTACCCTGTAGACCCTTCCCTAGAATACAAAAAAAAAAAAAAAAAAAAAAAAAAAAAAAAAACAAAAACCTGCCTGTTCTCTACCTCTTTCGTACATCTATTTCCTGCTTCCCCTTATTTACCTTAGTTTCTGCCTGCACACAGCCTCTCATTATCATTGGTTGTTCAACATTATATTTATAATTGATCTTTGACTG